TTATTGAGAAAGCCATCTCCAAATTAAATGAATACTTCATATTTAAAGTTATAGAAGCTGTTTGGTCTAAACTTGTGTTGCCTGTTTATTGAGAAAGCCATCTCCAAATTAAATGAATACTTCATATTTAAAGTTATAGAAACTGTTTGGTCTAAACTTGTGTTGCTTAATGTAGTGGTTATAACCTGTTATCATTATTTTATGAACAGATTTGTCAATGATCAGCTTAATAGGTTTCGAGAAGAAAACTCAGACATGAGGGTGAAGAATACGAAGTTGACATCTCAGGTCTGAAAACTTTCACATTTTCTATATCTGTCCTTTGTTTCAGGGGAATTTTATATTAGCAAGTAACAGTTTTAATGACATGGCTGTGTAATAAAATGTTATAATACAATAGGAGAAAATAAATGCATTAAATGTACTTATAAACCCTCTATACACACTAACAACTTACATTAGTTTAATTGTTAGCAATTTTCATACTAAGTTACATAAGGGCTATCTGAAAGACATCACAAGTGCTTGCCTAGAAGTGATTGCTAGTAAGTTGTTCCTGATTGGAATTATTTATTAAGTTGTTCAGCAGTGACCACTTATCATCATCAATATGGTTGAAAATTTGTGTGTGTTCTCTTCCTCAGAAGACATATTGCTGAACATTTCCTCCATTTTAGATTTTTTTTTTTTTGTCCAATGTTCATTGTAATACGATGTATTTTTTGCAAAGTATCTATCACCGTCAGACATAGTAGTAGTGTTTCTAGTGGCTGTGGCATTAATATAGCACGAGAAACTCGCAATAAACAGCAACTAACAACATTATTAAAATCTGATTGTGTATTTATTTGGTTGGACTACCTGTTTATTTGTTTGAGCTGAATCATTATTATTTGAAGTCCTAAATTCCACTTTATTTTATCAAATTTACATGGATTAAAAAAAAATGATTTCAGTCATAAGAATAACCTTTAACATCTTTGGTTGTTAAAAATGTTTCTAAAATTGAAATATCAAAACAAAATTTTGGGACAGTGTACATTTCTTACATTAGTTTTTTTTAAGAGGATAGGGGGGAGGGATGAAAGTCATCACACATTAATGCAGTTTATCAAGTGAAAACTGGGGTGAGGATGTTGATGAATATGATAATAATCATTATTATTATCACACTTGCTTTTATGAGTTCTATAAAGTTGCAGTTAGATACAGTAACCTTTTAATAAAACCTTTCTACCTACAGCCACGTATAATTTAAATACATACATTCCTCCGCTCCCACTTATAGCTACTACTTGACTGCCAGGGTTTCTTTCTTTGCCCATCTAAGCACGGGCCTGATTTTTTCATGCTTTCTCCAGTCTTTGTGCCCTCTATCCTGGTACTGTATATAAGCACCTCCTTCAGATAATGTTATAACTTTTTCTTTACAAAGTGTTACTAACAGGTTTCTCAGTATAATGGTCGTTCATTATAAGCATTTTCTAGTTGATTTTCGTAAGTGTAATTTATAATACATATAAAAAGAATGATAATAAAATAAAAACAACAACATTTTTCTACTCCGACTGGCAAGCCAATTTATGGCATGAATCCCTGGATTATTATTTCCTGTATGGAGGCAAATCAGGTCTCTCCTATCACACCTCTCATATTTAGTGTTGCACAACAATTGAGGGGGTGGGGTGTGTTCTTGGTTGATACTATCAATGATCTTATTCATGGTTAGATGGAGACCAATATTCAGAACTGTGGTGGTCCTCTGGGGGGATATGAGGATGCATTTGAGGGGCGATCCTCGACATTCTGAAGAGTATTTAGATTCACTTTTTCTTGCACCTTCTTTTGGTCTTTTGATGAGCTTGCGAACTTGTACTGCTGGGGTCTGGGATTTCATTCCTATGGGTGGACACAGTGGATGGCCCAACATTGTTTTGCTCTAACAAAACAAATTTACCTCACAAAAGGTTGTTCCAAGGTTGTTGTCTTGTTTCTCATTGAGGAGGCACTTGGTCCAGGGCTCCTTGTTTTTGATTTTTGGACCTGATAGTGAAAGATACATAAACAATATGTAGACCCCACCAATAATGAAAGGTATATAAACAATATGTAACCCCACCGATAGTGAAAGGTACATAAACGATATGTAGACCCCACCGATAGTGAAAGGTACATAAACAATGAGTAGACCCCACCAATAGTGAAATGTACATAAACAATATGTAGACCCCCACCGATAGTGAAAGGTACATAAACAATATGTAGACTCCACCAATAGTGAATGGTATATAAACAATATGTAGACTCCACCGGTAGTGAAAGGTAAATAAACAATGTGTAGACCCCACCAATAGTGAAAGGTACATAAACAATGTGTAGACCCCACCAATAGTGAAAGGTACATAAACAATGTGTAGACCCCACCGATAGTGAAAGTTACATAAACAATGTGTAGACCCCACCAATAGTGAAAGGGACATAAACAATATGTAGACTCCACCGGTAGTGAAAGGTAATAAACAATATGTAGACT